CAAAAGCTAGCCAAGAAGAGATGGGTATTGATGATTATCTTTCCGAAATATACCCGTAATTATGCTATGGTTCGTGGTTACTTGTACTTGTACTTGCATTCTCTCATCCCCATTTTCCTCATCTAATTCCCTTCTCCTCCTTTCCCGTTCACCCTCACTCCTCCGCCATTCTCCGTCCCCTTCCCCCTTCCCCCTCCCCATTCTCCTATTCCTTCCCCCTCCCATTCTCCTCCCCCTCTTCCCATTCTCCTCCCCTATTCCCTAAATATGATTGCTGATCCTTAGAATCTGACTTATATGATTTGTAAATATTATTACCACATTTCTTCCCCATTTCTCCTTCCCTTTCCCCCTCTCCTTTCTCCTTCCCCTCCCCCCTCCTTTATTCTCCTCTTCCCTTCCTCCTTCTCCCTTCTCCCTCTACCCATCCCCCCATTCTCCCTCCCCCCTCCCCCATTACTCCTCCTCCTTCCCCACTCCCCCATTCTCCTCCTCCCCCCCCCCCCCCCTCCCCCGGCTCCCCTCGTCTCATCATTTCTCCGATTGCGTGGTCTTGATGGAATAGTAAAAGCGAAAATTGAAACAACACCCGAAAAAGTTTTCTGATTTCCCATCGGATCCTTTTCAAGTCAGATCAGATCCCGTGTTCTCGGTCCAGATCCTTCTCGCGTCTGAAATAAGTGAAAGTTCTAATCCTCCTTAGATTTCTTGGCCAGTCTTTCTGGTATTTATTTCAGAAGTGGTTTTCGCGTCTTATTTTGATTCTTTTCTGCTTTTATCGAGCTCTTTCCCTTTCTCATTTCCTCTCAGTCGCTTTTCTATCATCTGTCTGGCTCTCCTCTGTTTATCTGTCCTCTCTCTCTCTTTCTATCTCATCACACTCCACCACCCACAGTCTCTCCTTCACAATCACAATTAAGTCTCTCTCTGTCTTCTTAGAGTGGCTATCGTTGATTAGCGAGTTAATGTCCTCTCCTCTCTCAATCTCCTCTCTCCTCTCCTCATCTCATCTCTCTCTCTATTCCTCTCTCTCCCACTCAATCTCTCTATCTCTTCATTATCATCCTCAAATCCCTCCCTCTCATCTTTCCTATAACTATCCACTATTTCCCAGTATCCGGATTATTTCTATCCAACATTCGTCTAAATCTTCCTCATCTCTCTCCTCATATGAATTACCATCTCTCTCTCTCTCTCTCTCTCTCTCTCTCAATTTTCTCCAAGTCTCACTCCCTCTGCCCATGCATACCCCATCCGCTCAACCTCTCATTTCCCCTATCTTTTCACTAAGCTTCACCATCACTCTGCTATCTATTAGATTAACTCAATCCATTACACTCCTACTATCCCCCATTCCCTTTAATTCACTATCTAGTGTCACCACTATATCACTCTCACTACACACGTTGAGGGGTTATTCGCTCTCCCATCTATTCTAACGATAATAATATCACCTCCATCTCTATCTTATCTGATTAATTATAGATACCTCTCGTCTCTCTCTCTCTCCTCTCACTCTCATCTCTCTCCTCATCTCTCATCTCTCTCTCGTTCTCAAAAACCCCCGTCGTCTCCCCACTCTCCTCTCTCTCTCCCACTCCTCCCTTCCCTCTCTAATCTCTCTCCTCTCGTTTCTTTTTAGTCGAACGTCTTTTGTTTGGCCTAAACGCATTGATGCAAATCCCGTCGCGATGATAGTGGAATCNGCGTGCAGACGGTCACTCTCGGCGGTCTTGCGGGCGCTCGGACCCCGGTTATTTGCATATCAATGGCGATTGGCGATCTGTGCTTGCTTCCTGATTGTCCGTCAATCTGTTTCTTTGTATGTGTCTGTCTGTCGTTGGCTTCCCCTCTCAACGCCCCCCCAACAACCTTTTCCTCTCTCTATCTACTGTCTATCTCTATCTCTTTATCTGTCTATCTATCAATCTATCTGTCTATCCATCTCTTTCTGTTTCTATCTATCTATCTATCTACCTATTCTATCTATCTGTCTCTCTCTCATCTCTCTCTCTCTCTCTCTATCTCTCTCTCTGCTCTCTCTCCTCTCTCTCTCTGTCTCTCTCTCTCTCTCTCTCTCTCTCTCTCTCTCTCTCTTCTCTACCTCTATCTATCTATTGATATATCTATCTGTCTGCCTAGTAGTCTATCGATCACTATCCCTGTATCCATCAATTATCTGTCAGTCCATCCCCCCGCTCCTCCACCCGTCCATCCCGCAGGAGCGACCGCGCAAGCCCTCCCTCGCCCCGCCTGCAGCCGCCTCCGCCGGGAACAGAGTAATCACCCAAGAGGCATCGGGCGGCAGGAGAAAGAGAGCCAGCGTGAGAGAGAGAGCCAGCTCCGAAGGGAAGAGAGAGAGAAGAGCCAGCGCGCGAGGGAGAGAGAGAGAGAGAGCCAGCGTCCGCAGAGAGAGAGAGAGACGTCGCGAGGAGAGAGAGAGAGAGAGCCAGCGTCGCGAGGGAGAGAGAGAGAGAGAGCCAGCGTCGCGAGGGAGAGA